TGGAGGTTAAACTTTTTAAAATTACCAAAAACAACCTTATTTTAATGAATTTTATGTTTTAAAATAGGGATGGAAAAGTCTTTTACATATCACATATTTTTAAAAATCCAAAATTTAGGAAAAAAAAAGATAAGTTTCTAATATTTAGAGAAAGGCGTCTATTATATTTGGTTTCTCATATATATATATATATATATATACACACACACACACACACACACACATACATATATTGATGATTATCAATCACGTATAAACAATTATTGTGAACGGAGTTAAATTTGTTTTTTCATAATATCTTGTAATCATAAAATATCAAAACTTTATTCGAATTTATATGATCCAATCGTAAACACAATCATGTCCTACGATAACAACAAATCCAACAATATTGAAAAGAAAAAAAATATATAATAACAAATCACATTTTGTAAATAATATAATTTTTACATACCTTTTAAAATCTTTTAATTAAAATCTTTTAAGTTTTCTTCAACTCTTATTTTTTCATTACTCACCAAAGGATTTTTGTCAATTGAAAAAAAATCATGAAGCAGTCAAAATTTAAATTATCAATCACGTATAAATAGTTATTGTTAATGAAGCTTAAATTCGAAAAAAGTTTATCATATCCTTTGATTACAAAATATCAAAATTTTATTCGAATTTATATGATCAAATCGTAAACACAATTTATATGATCAATCGTAAACACAATCATATCTTATGATAACAACAAATCCAACAATATTGAAAAAGAAATATGTAATAACAAATCACATTTTTAATGAATATAATTTCTACATACCTTTTAAAATCTTTGAATTCTTCTTCAACTCTCACCTTCTTCATCCCTCACCAAAGGATTTTCTAAGATTTCATTTTATTTATTATTGAAACTTTGAAAAACAAATTTCATTAAAAATAAAAGAAAGTAAATGGAAGAGCAAATCAAGAGTTAGAGGTTAAACTTGGGTATACAAAATTACAAAAATAATCTGGGTTAATTATGAGCTATACATTTTTCATCCAGGCAAAAAAGTCTTTAACATATTCAACATTTGAAAAAATCAAAAAAATAAGAAAAAAGATAGGAGGAGTTCTAAGCATTAAAAGGTGCCACCTCATTATGTTTGGTTTCTCCTTTAATAAATATATATATATATATATATATATAAACTTGTTATACTCTTCTGCCATAGATGAGAGATAGAAAAGAAGAGGTGAGAGCGTACCAATAGTTTATAACTCGTACATGGAGATAAAGAACACATAAATGAAAAAAAAAAACCAGAGATTGAGGGATTCAGAAAAAAGCAGGGATTGAGGGATTTAAATATTGGAGTTGAAACGTACCAAGAGAAGGGGAAGAGTTTTTGAGTTAAATGTGAACATTAATTTGCAAAATTACTAAGGAAAAGAAAAATTCAAAACGTGGAAAAAAGAGGAAAATAGGATCTTGGCGTCGAGGAAATGCCACGTCAGACTATCATGATTATGCTTTATAGATATATATAGATTCTAGTCTTAGATGGGAAAAAAATCATATAAAACAATAACTTAAGGTAAATATTCTCACAATTATTACAATATATAAAGTTTTCATATGATTAAGTCTCATATAATATAAATGTGTAATTACAAAGCAATAGCATTTTATTTATTTTACATTATCTTAAAAATACAATATTTTGTTTTTTTCAATAATTTCTTCTGAAATAATTTATTTGATCATCAGCAACCGTCACTAGATATTTCACGGGATTAATTATATTTTACATATTTTCTTCTTTTCACTTTATTTAAAAAAATATTTAAGATATTTAATTATCAATTATATTTTTATTAAATATAATAATCCAAACAATACATTTATATCATTGTGAATCATTTAGGACACAATCAAACTCAATATTTTGATGTGGGCTTTGACGTGAAAGTTCCTGGAGACCCATGAGTCCATGATGGGGCTAAGACGGTGTCCCCTTAAATGATTGACATTTGCTACGAGATTTCAGGGTTGTTTGTTTGCCTCTTAATAGTTTCATTAAGAGGTAACCTCTGAATTTTTAAGAGGTGAATCTTGTTTGGTAAAAAAAATCTGCCTCTTAATGATTTTAAAACCTTATGAATGATTTTGTATCATGGATCTCACTTAACCATTAATAGCCCCTAATTTCATTATACACAATTACCAATCAATTATATTTTATTTTGCATTATATCATGAGTGTTTCTTAATCATTCTGACCACTTAATTATTCTGCACCAAACCATTCAGTAATTGTCAAACAGCCCCTCCGTTTCAAACCCATAACATACCGATTTTGAAGGGGCCTATAGGATTTTTGAAGCCTAAAAACGTTCTTTAAACATGTTTTTGAACTTTTTATGTTTTTTTGCTAAATTTTACATTTTTCATTTGGATTTTATGTTTCGCCCACAGTCTCTTTTACGAACATTTCGTTTTGGTCTTCTTATTTACATGTTTGTGTAATCCGGATGGTCAATTTTCTTCCGAAATTTGAGTTCGTTGTAAACTCCATTTGAAGCCTAAAGTTAAGTATTCATCGAATCAACGAACTTTGGAAGAGATTATTCTTGGTCATTCACAAAATTAACGGGATTTGTCTTTCGTATGACTTTATCCGGTGCATCGTATTTCCTCTCGAATTTTGTATAAGTTTTTCTTTTTTTAATTTTCTCTTTTTTTATGACTAGATACTTGAGTTCAATAGAGATTGTATAAGCTTTTATCATTTATTTATTAATTTAATAATTTGTCCTTTTAATATAAAATGTGAACTTTGTTTTCTACTGAAATTTAATAATTAATACAGATAAGTTACAAGAGAAAAACATTATTTGTTCCTTTGAAAGAACAATCTGGAAAAAGAAAGCATGGAACGAAAGTTTCAACTTTAGAATCCAAAATTGCATTCGAGTGGATTCTAGGTTGTTTTTAAGCTAGCTTCAATGCTCTTCAAGAGGTCAGTGTTGTTCCGTTTATCAGTATCAGTTTTGACAGTTTCTTTATGGTGCTTCTCGTTCTCAATTTCCTTAATAGAAAATGTTAGTTTTTAGCAACGTAAATTAAAGTTGCAATTGTAGTAATTTAACACTAGGTGTTTCGTCTGTTAGGAAAGAAGACAAAATCTCTGGTAAAAGTATTGAAAGAAAGACACAGGATTACACCTAACCAACGTGGGAATCCCACCCAAAAGCATAACCACTCAACTTATTAGGACAAGCACTAATGTTGAGAGGGTGAGCACCAATCCAAACAAATAAACACATATGGTTGGAACAAAGTTCATACCACATCACAAAGATCCAAAAGAAACATAAACCAGTAGTGATAAACATAATAAACAGAATAAAGCAAACAATACGTTGAGCCTTATAAACCATCCAACGATGACAACCCCTCTTTCTCCGGTAGTAGTCTTGGCCTTGATTACAGATCATTATTGACCCTAATGCTTGCTTCTTTTAGAGGGGTTTGGTTCGATACAAATGGTTTCGAGAGATTTGGATTTCGTGGAAGGATATGGAATTACAGAGATTTGGATATAGGAGGATTTGAAATCTTTGATGTGTATGATTTGGAATGGAATTGAATTCCATTCTTTATAAATAAATTATGAAAATAATTACATTACCTTTTTATTAATTGATTATTACAAAACAAATGTTTTAAACATATTTTAAAACATTGATACATACAAACTACGAAATCCTGCGGAATACTAACCACCACCATTGGATTTCAAAATCCCATGTTTGTGAGATTTCAAATCTAGTAACTCTTTCAAACCACGCATGGGATTGGAATAGAATTCAATTACAAATCCCTCAAAACTCAATCCAATCCTGTAAACCAAAGGGGACATTAAAGCTCCAGATTCCCATGCAACCACCTCCTTAGTGATACTTCCAGTAGCAGTTACAAATTTGCCCATCATCAACCACAAGGGTGTTGCCTGATTGGTTTGAGCTTGACTTCAAAGGTCAAAAGTACCAGGACGTCTCAGGTTCAAATACAAGGAGAAATAAAAATCATCTTGTGGCCACAGAGGTTCAAATGCGGTGACTCTAGGCTATCTGCAAAGCAGGTGGTTGCGCTGGGATTAGTCAGCTCGCATAGCAGGTTGGATATCCAGATTAAAAAAAATGCCCATCATCTTGGTTGTTAAGAGTGTTCATTACATCTCTCTCCTCCCCACCCCGCCTGTCGTTCTATTTATGAAGGTCGAGTTTTAGTTGCACCACCTCCCGTATTACCTTAATGAGGTCTTCTTCACTTCGATGTTGGTTTATGAATAAACGGCAATTATGTTCTTGCCATATGTGGTATAGGCGTTTTATATGTTTAGTCGGTCTAGATATATGGATTTCAAATGAAAGCTTTCATTTAATTCATCTTAGTTTAATAGTGTACGTAAGCAACACAAAGAACATTCATTCATTTCTTTCTTCCCCGTCGACCACGACGACAGAAACGACGCGAAAAATGATATGATGTACTGATGTAGAACAAACTGAACAACTGAATGCGTAATTTTTTTTATAATGAAAGAATTACAGAACCCATAACTAACAATATAAAAATCTCGACAAATTCCACACACCGGGCCCAACCATCATGTCCATATTCAATCACTTCAATTTAAAATTTCCCCAAGTTTTATTATTTTTTGTTTTAATTATTTTATTTTAATGTGAATCGTATAAGATCGTTGATTTTTATCATGAACACGTTATCTGAGGTAAAGGGTTTTTGATTTCATTTTTTAACAAAATGTAATATTTTTATTTGTTTCGGGATAATAACAAACAGGGGCGGAACACAAACCTTCTAACCGTAGGGGCCGGAACTAGTATATTATATATTTCAAAGGTACCAAAAATACATTATCCAAAGTTATAACATAGTAAAACTTTATAACTAAACATTAAATATAAACATGTCAAACATCGCAAATCAAAGTGGAACCCGTCTATCTTTCGCGACCTTGAACTCTTCCACAATTTCCTCTGTTAATGGAATCGGACTTTTCGTTTTGGCCTCTAAATGCAACTGCTTGAAAGGCACACCAACGGACGCAATAAATAGAAGTCGTCAATCTCAATTTGTTTTTCTCATGCTCTTCAGTTGTGAACTTCTCAAATACATTTCGTATATCTTGTGCCTCATTAGATAAATGATCCCATCCCTTTTGTGTAACATTGTGGAAAGATGTACAATCGGTTCCCATATGCATCAAAAAGCCACATTTTTTCCCACCCACCTTTTTCCAATTTCGAAACCCATCTGTGGTAAATGCTCGTTGACCGTAGTATCCGAGCCCAGATGGCTTGTTAAATAAAAAAAAAGGAAAACAAAATGCTGCATCCAAAGTCTTTGAATATTCAATCCAGGGATGTAACTTATACCAAGAAGCTTGAAAGCTACGCTTATGACTTTCTAGTCCAGATTTTGGAAACATAGAAAGTGTAGGTTGAAGAGGACCAAGATTCATGTAAGCTCGTCGAATTGTATCTTGTTGATTGATAGGATAATCATAAATTTTATGACGCAAAGCAGGGTCTCGTTCTAGTGTACCCAGATCAATATCATTACTTTCAATTTGAGCTTTTTTGCAAGGGTTTTCAATAGGCGGAATACTAGATGCAAGGGTATTATCTACATTTGTTGTTTCTTCGGGATATTGAGAAGAAGAACTAGCATGCTTTCTTTTAAAAAACCCATGAATGGTAGATTGAGTTTTCATCTTTATCTACATAGCAGTTTTAGTGTTAGATAGTATGATTTCAATTCATATTGGCATACACCTAAATCACCTAAATTTTGAGTTTAGACCTTAATTTCCACATAAATTTGAATGACTATTAACCAAATTTCAGCCAATTTCAAATACCAACCAAAGGCTGAAAGGCATCTCTAAATAACCAATTTCAACCACATAACCATTAAATCACCACATAATCAGTAAATCACCATATAAGATATAACCGATTTCAATAAATTTAGACCTAATAATCACCTAAATCAGTAAATCATCACTTTTGGGTTTTGATTTCAAAACAGAAAGTGCATTTAGAGGCCAGAGTACACAACAAAGTAAGGAACTCAAAACAGCAGAAGTGAGAGAACAGAGAAGGACGGACTTACCGGGAGGCTGGAGTTACCGTGGCCTGCTGGCCGTCGACAGTCGAGGCCTGAGTGTCGCCTCCTCCTCCGCTTGCGTCTACGCTGGTCGCTGCGCAGCCTGCGCTCTCGCCGTCTTGCGTCTCGCCTACGCCTACGTCTGTCGTCTGCCGTCTACGCTGGTCAGTGCCGTCACGCCGTGGTCACCCTCCTCGACTCCTCGTCGGCTTGTCCTCACACAGGCTGCTCTCGCTCCGTCGCTCTCGCTCCGTCGCTTGCCCTCGGGATTGAAGGGGGAGGCCAGTTGAATTTTTTTGTGTTCTACAACCTAATGGATTACACTATGGAGGGTTAATTGGGAAAAAAATCACAGGGGCCAGGGCCCCTATAGGCCCATTAGGCGGTCCGCTCCTGATAACAAATGATTATACACTTTTACAAATTTGCTTATAATTATGACATATTAGTAACAATAACTCTCATTGTCAAATTCTCTACAATAATTTTCATGGATTTATGCTGAACTTTTTTATCATGTTATTATTAAAAAAAACCGCCATTTAAAAATAATGAAATAATTTGGTTGAAAAAATTAAGTAATTTCACTTTCGATGAGAAATAGAGTTAGGGGGAGAAGCGTAAGAAGAGATTTCCACTATTCGATGTACATTAGAATATGATGCATTGGATCAATCCTTATGAGTGGGTTTGAGATTAAAGGTGATCAAGGTCCAGATCCGTTTTCACGCTTCTCACTTTAACTATGCTTCTCACACGATCTTTCGCCTTACTTTTAAGTAATAACAAGATAAGGGAACTGTGTGCATGAATATCAGGTTTATAACATTTATGGATTGGTCCTTGGACGTGATGAATATGTTTAGTGTACGCATGGTGGACATGATCGAAGGCAAGGGCCAAGGGCATTTGCAGATCGGCTATGAAAATGTATACGGATAGGGCTATACACTTTAATGGATTAATCATGTATTAAACAAATGTATCAAGCAACTTCGCAACTCGTATCAATGATTGAGAGATATCATGACGAGAGTTGAAAAATAGTTCGTTTTATGATCGATTGCCAATGAAATTAGAGAACTTTCTATTGTGAAACAAAAACAATATAAAACAAATATACGTTAATGAATACATTAGATCATAGTCTTAGATAGAAAAAAAAAATCATATTAAAATAACACATGCTGCATCAATTCTTGTGGTGTATTACGTTGTTATGGTTCACACATGATTATCTCATATATACATATTATATATAGGGCAATTTCGTTGAAAACTTGTTTTTTTTTAAGAACTTGGAGACTGTCCACAACACGTCAAGTGTCTATTTTCAGGTTGAATATTTATCATGAATAACACATTCATGACGAATGTGGATGTGTTATTCATCATGAATAACACGATACCCTTGATGGATATAACACGTGTCATGTTGTGACGCCCCCAATTTTCAATAAAATGAGGTTCTTAACGAAATATACCCATATATATAAGGTAAATCTTAATTCCAAAGCTCTTGTAACTATATAGGTTCACTTGTGATGACTGCAGGTCGTTCATAATCACATAAATTGACATAAAAACCTACGATTACAGGAAAAGAAATTCTTAATTTCAAAGAATCTATTTTATATATATCTATAAAGCAGAATCATGATAGGCTGACGTGACATCTCCTTGACGCAATGATCCTATTTTCCTCTTTTTTCCACATTTTGACTTTTTTTTTTCTTGGTAATTTTGCAAATTAATGTTCACATTTAACTCAAAAACTCTTCCCCTTCTCTTAATATGTTTCAACTTCAATCTTTTAATCCCTTAATCCCTGGTTTTTCTTCGAATCCCTCAATTTTTGGTTTTTTCAATCATGTGTTCTCCAATCTCCATGTACGAGCTTTAAGCTACTGGTACACTCTCCCCTTTTCTTTTTTTTTTTCTATTTCTCATTTATGGCAGAAGAGTATACACAAGTTTATCAATATCTATACTATATTATAAAGCATTTGACAAAAACTCTTAAAAACCACATTTTATACGTAAAGTACTGTTTATTAATGCATATTACTTAAAACTCAAGATTGCAAGTAGATTGTGCGTAAGTAGAACTTATTAAAGCTCCATATCTGAATTCGTGTAACTAACTGCAGATAAACA